GCCACAAGTCACTTACCAACCGCTGGGCTCTTCCTGTATTTTTTCACTTTATACCAACCAATGCAACTGCTACTATCTCCTGCGACCCAAAGGCACGTTACTGAGTAACAATATGGTGTTTTTGTACAGAAATTCAGCTCATCTTGTGAAAAATGTTAAAATCTAAAGCATAGTGATAAGTTATATATATTTGTACAGTTTTAATGTCTCAAGCCTAAAAATGTTTGTGTTGCTGGGAAACTTTAAAGCCGAATGGCCATTAAATAAAGGTGGTTGCCCAGAGACCCGACTGGCTGCTTCCCGCAGGCCCTGGGTGTTCTTGCAGGTGACTTTCCGCCAGTTTTAGGCTGGTGGGACTGCGACTGGGAAGCCCGCGCGACCCAGAGTGACCCCTCTGTACAGCGACTGTTCCCTCTGCGCAGCCCAGGGCCTCCCAGCACGCTCCCACGGATGGCCAGCCTTGTCCTGGGGGAGGCCCCGCACCCCTGGCCCCAGCAGACCAGGCTGCTCAGACACGGGGGCAAGCAGGAGGCAGGTGGCCGGCCGGGCCCCCTGGAGGGCGGGGGTGTGAGGGCACCTTGATCCTGGCACCTCCCAGGGCCCAGGAGGCTGTCCTGGTGCCACCTAGCCCCCACCACTGGCCCCGTGCATGTGGGACGGCCACCCAACCTGCTTCTGGGCCCCTTGGCCCTGGTGCTGGGATCCAACTCCCCACAGCGTCAGGGGGAGGGTGCAGTGGGCAGACCCGGCAGACGGCCTCCCTCGCGCCTTTGGGGACCCGGCCCACCCCACCCCCTGCGCAGCTGCAGCGGGAGGGCGCGTGTCACTGGTCTCAATCTCCCGCCGTGATCCACCTTGTCCCCTTTCCTAGTGCTGATGCCACTGGCAAAACCAGTCAGATCTCAGCAGCAGCCCCTGTTAAGAAGCAGGCTGTCGTGGGGTTGCCTCTGACCCCCACTCCCAGCGGCACCGGCTCCTGCAGGGAGGGCACCGGGGCGGGGCGGCTGCAGGTGCGTGGCAGGCACAGGCAGGGGGAGAAAACAAGCCTGCGAAAAGCCCCGAAGGCCAGGCCAGGCCAGGGAGAGGCCCAGAGAGGACGCGGCCTCACTGCCGGGAGGACCAGCTTCTGGGGAGGGTCTGCCAGCCAGCGGCCAGGCACCCTGGCACGGCCACCCTGATCCACCCTTGCACCTGGCCCCTACCCTGAGCCACACACAGACTAAAAGCACTGAAGGAGAATCAGAGATGCACACGGTGGAGGTATTGGGGTGCTGACTCCCCGCCGCCTAAGGGAGTGCACCTGAGACCCACCAGACGGCAGCCAGAGACACAGCCAGGCAGACACGTTTCTAACTTCTGCGCGGAGTAAGGCCGAGAACACGACCAAAAGGCAGCAAGTCAGAGGAACACTCTGACACATAAATCCACTCAACGGTGGATTTATTTATGCACACAAGAATCAGGGTCCAGGCTGGAGGTGCTGGGGGGGGGAGAGGACTCCCCAGAGACAGAGCGGGGAGCAGAACAGGGAGATTGAGATAATTGCTGAGGGGGCAGCGGGGAGACAGGAGGGGTCTGCCATGCCCTGGGGTCCCTCCCTGCACAGTGAGAAAAAAAAGAAAATCAAAACCCAAAACGTGGACAAGGCTGGAAATGACAAACAAACCAGTGCATCGAAACGCCACGCCTGAGACGTGGTTTCAACGGTGCGAACACATATGGGGCCCAGTTTCTGGGCCCTGCACCCTCCTGCTGGGGAGCGCCGAGGTAGGGCTGTGCCCCACAACCCGCACACAAGTACCAGGGGCTCAGGAGGGTGGGGTGGACAGGGCAGTCAGGAAAGGCCCCAGACAGGGACGCAGGTGGCCCCGGCCTCTCCCGGTGAGGCCACACCCTAGTGGAACCAGCCACGACCTTGTCCGCAGCCCGATGCTGGGCCCTGCCTAGGACTGGCGGCACCAACAGGTGCCCCAAGGGGCAGCCACCACAGTGCCAGGACCCAAGGAAGCTGGCAGGGGCTGCCCTGGTGCGGCGTCCAGCCTCAGGCCCCTGCCGTGCAAGCGTGCGTGCGTCGTGTGGCTGCGCGAGCGGGGCGGGACAGAGGCCCCCGGTGGTGCCCGCCACGTCTCAGCCCCCGGGGCCCCAGCACCGCGTGGCCGGGCCTAGGCACGCAGGCCGTGGCTCCGAGACCCCAGGTCTCTCCAAACCACGCTCAAGGCAACGCCCAGTGCTGTGCCTTTCTCGGCTGCGGTAAAAGGGGCATCTCCTGGGCGACCCAAGGCGCCCAGTGGTCCGGGGGCTGCCGGCCACCCCTCCTGTGCTCTGTGGGGACAAGATGCCACAGGAGACGCTATTTACAGCAAACTTTTATTTCATTATGCTCCAGGGGTGACAGGACACCCCGAGGTGTAGACTCGGACCCCAAGGGAGAGCGGGGACGGCACAGGCCGCCCCACCCGCCCGGCTGCAGGAGGGCGGGGACGCGCCCCACGCGGTCGGGGACGCGCCCCACGCGGTCGGGGACATCTTCCCGGTAGCATCAGGAACGCGGAACGTCGTGTGAATTTCAACACAGCGGCGGTCAGAACACTGTTCCAGGGTGAGCAGGCCGAGACTAGGAGTGACGGGGTCCGCTCAGCACGCTCATCCCCAGCTTGGCGACCATCAGCAGACTACAGAGGAAACGGGGGTCAGCGGAGGGCGGGGCTCAGAGGCCCCTCCTCGGGTGCGTGCCGGCACCCAGCTCACTCTAGGCATCAGGGCTGGCGTGGCCATCCGCACCTTTGCCAGACAGACAGAAAGGTCTGGCGTGTGGACCTTCTTACTTGGAGAAGGACATTCGAAAGAACAACATTGTTTGGGTTTTGTGATCCACGTTAACTGAACATGTGTTGAGCAAGACTTCCTTCTGGTAAACTCCACCCCGGAGGACAAGAGACCTGCTCTGAGTCACAGGGCCTCGCTCGGCCTGTACAGCCCTTCTCCCTGGGGCACAGGCCAGAGACACCGCCAGCCTCTGCCTGGACAGCGTCCCTGCAGGCCTCTCCCCCAGTTGGTGCCAGGCCTATCACCACCAGATGCTGGATCACTAGGTGGGCCGGTGTGAAAGGGGACAGAAGGCAGGGTACCTGGCACCAGCGATCAGGCCGGCGGGCATGAACTTCCCAGAGTTGTAGAAGCGAATCCCCATGATGCCGGCCAGGGTCCCAGATGTCGCTGATGGGACGAATCACAGATCATTGCACCTTCCATACCATCAAAACACATAGCCAAAGCCCCTGCGCCCTTCCAGGGCACATCCAGCCCCCTCACTGCCCACGACCACAGGGTCCACGCAAGGCACGTGTGGGGAGAGCCTGTGGCGGCGGCCGGGGAGCTGAAGGGCGGGAGGTGTGGGGGCTGGAGGGAACAGAGATAGGCAGGGCCAGAACTGGTGCTTTGGGGAAGTTTCTGAAGGGGAAGGGGTGGGCGGTGACCGAGAAAGCCACGGGGTCACAAAACTCGTGAACAGGACAGGCCAGTGCCAGGGAAAGGGAAGGCGGCCACAATCAGATGGTCCCACAGGGGCCGATGAGGGGGCGTTGAGGCTAGCAGGGTACGGGAGCGGGTGGGCGGGATGGACATCAGCCTGGAGCCCAGCGGCAGGGGCTGAGAGTGGCCCTGACTCCCGCCACCCGTCCTGCAAAACCCTCCACTCCCAGCACCACGCTGCAGCCTGCAGGCCTGTGCACAGGAGGGTCCCACACCCCAGAGCAGTCTGCAGAGCACAGGTGGGGTAGCTGGCCTGGGCCCGGGAGGAAGCCTCCAGGCATACGCCCACGGCGACTGTCAGTCTGCAGTGAGGAGGTGGCCCAGGTCAGGCTGTGGGCGGTACCTCATCACTGCACAGCCACAGGATACTTCCCATTCAGGGTCGAGACTGACCTCACACGCGACCCGGGCTTAGGCAGACGAGGGGCAGCGGGCCTGCGCTCAGAGGCAGTGTTGCCCTGCATGACCCAAACGCTGCCTCAGACCTGAACGCCTTCCCACCACCTGATCCTAAGGGATCCACAGAAAGCAAGCACCAACCCCAACCAGGCAGAAGCGTGGAGGGGCTGTGTGACCAGCCAGCAGGCCACAGCCTGGGGACCGCAACTGCACAGGGCTTTGGGGAGAGACATACCTAGAAACACCCAGATGTTCCTGGGATCCTGAGACAGCTGGTAGGCCCCCAGGCCCGCCAAGCCACCGAAGAGGAGCCCTGCAGCCAGGGACGGGACACTACCTGCAGGGGTAAGTGCCACACACTGATCTGGAGTCCATGGTCATCCCAGCGAGGCCCCCCTGAGCCAAGGAGGGACCTCTTCTCAGGCCCTTGCTCAGTCCTCCAGCAGCAAGGGGGCTCAGGCACAGGCCCTGCTTTTAACCTGAGGAGGAATGACAGCCAGCCGGCAGGGCAGGCCTATGGAAGGGCAGGCCCATGGAAGCTTGCAGGCCAGAGCTGCTGGGGCGGGGTTGGGGGGAGGGCCTGAGGGTGCGGCTGAAACGCACACGGGGTCAGGCGGGGTGGGGCGGGCAGGGAGGGCTGCCCTCGCCTGTGAAGACCAGATTGCTGCCTGGCGCAGGCGATAGCACAGCCCAGCGCGCGCCCAGGTCACCTGCGCGCAGGGCGGGTCGATAAGGAGCCGCCCACAGGACCGAGAGCCTCGGCCCGCGCATGTGGGGCCGGCGGGGCCGGCCAGCACGAGGTAGGACAGACAGGGGACCCCGCAGACACACCTGCTTTTGCGTAGCCTATGATCCCGCCGGAAGCCACCAGGGCTGCGTAGCCGAAGCCGATCCAGTGCAGAGGCACGCTGGAAGCAGAGGCAGTCAGCGGTCAGCGGTCAGCGGTCAGCGCCCGCCCGCCCGCAGCCCGCCCGCCCGCCCGGGCGCACTCACAGCGGGCCAGAGTCGGGCATCGCGTCCTTGCACCGCCCCACCTGCACCTGCGGGGAGAGGCTGCTCAGCGCGCTCCGCTCACATAGTTGCCCGCCAGGTCCGGGTGGTTCTTCTCGATGCCGTCGTCCAGGATGGAGACCACGATGCCGCGGCCCGTGTAGCCCTGCGCCCAGGCCGCCTTCACGTTCAGGTCCCGCTGGGCGACGCCGGACTGCAGACACCCAGCCCTCAGCACACGTGGGGTGCGGTGGGACCCCGAGTCCTGTCAGCACCCCAACCTCTGGCTCCACAGGCCCCGCTCGTGGGGCCCGGAACCCGCGGGCCACGTACCAGGTACCACTGCTGGGGGAATTTGGGGTCCGTGGGCTCCTGGTACACGTCCCGTTTGCTCCGCCGCTTTGCCACCTGCTGCTCCAGCCACCGGACCTGCGGGCAGGGGGTGGTGTGGGCGGGGGCCGCGCTAGAGTGGGGTGGCGCCAGAGGCTCCCTCTGCGGGCGCTCACTTGAGGCTCCCTCTCCAGCCGGCTGTGCCGCAGGCGGTGAGGCGACAGGGACCGCTTTGTCACCGCTCGATGCCAGAAGTGGTAGTAGTCGCCGAAGATCTGCAACAGAGCGGGAGCGGGGCCGGCTTCCGTCTGGCAGCCGCGGGGGGCGGGGTGCAGGCGCTACGTGCGGCTCCGGGGGGTTCCGCTTCCTGTGCAGGCCCCGGCAAGCGGGAACCGGCAGAGCGGGGCCCCAGACAGGGGCCCCCCGCGCCGGCCACGCCCGGAGCTCAAGGGCGGCGGCACCCAGGACCCCCAGACCGGCCCCGCCCCAGGCGAGCAAGCCTACCTGGCCCAGGTTGAGGAAGCCATGCTTGCGGGCCAGGCTGTCGGCCACGGACGGGCCGCCGGCCACGCGCACAGCCCACGTATTGGTGAAGACCTTCTGGCCGCGGGCCTCAGCCGCCAGCAGGACCAGCACGCCGGCCGCCGCTGCCACCCAGAGCACCCA